AAACTCTAAGGCTGTGTTTGTTAAAGAAAATCTCAAATCAAATTAATTCCACTCAAAATTTAACTGAATTTTAACTCAACCACACTATCATCAATATTATCAATATAATTAAATATTAACAAGCAATCATTAAATAATAACAATCACTCATTTTTACACATCATATCAACTTTAATTCACTATTCATTCACTTACATAATTTTAACTAACCATCACTTCATATCACTCTCTCATACTTTTGCATCAAACCAATTTTAATTGTTTTATTTTAAATATTATTTTAATATAAACTCAAAATCACACTAACAACTAACTACACAACTTTTTTTAACATTAACCCTACTTAACTAAAAAAAATTCACTTTTGAATTAATTTACTCAAATTATTTCTTTAACAAACACACCCTAAAAGTGTTAATTGAACACAAATCCAAAAATTTTAATTGAATATTCCATAATTTTAAAAGTATTAAAAAAAAAACCTTTAAAAGTTTAAATTGAATACAGCATCAGATCCACCATTCCCAATTTTCCCACAATCAAAGCATAAACAAGAAACATCCAACAGGTTGTATGTATTTCCAACCTTTGCTGGTTTTTTGCTTTTCTTAATCGGCAGGGATAAGTTTTGGTACAAGATTTGATAGAAGGTTCTGTTGTTACGCTTCATCGGTAATTTTGCGGGTAAAAGGGCTCTAAAGATACAACACAAGGGAAGTTACAAAATGGTGAAGATCACGGCGTTGATGGTCCTGAAATGCTCTCCGGATGGTTCGGATCCGATTATTTTGTCGAACGCGTCGGATCTAAGCGGTTTCGGGTTTTTTCAACGGCCCAGTGTTAAGGAGTTCATCGTTTTCGTGGGTCGGACCGTAGCTAAACGGACACCGGCAGGCCAGAGGCAGTCGGTGCAGCATGAAGGTCCGGTTCGCTGTGATCCTTCGCATTTTCATATTTAAATTTCAAGGCTTTTTTTCCAGACCTTTCTGTTTCGCATGAGTGGCGATTTATGTGGGATTTGTTGCTTTTTTAGAGGTGCCATGACTTCTTTTGATTGATTTATGTAGTAGAGTTTTTAGTATTGAAGATTTCTTTATTGGTGTTTTACAATTTAACAGACCTTAGGATTGTGCTCTTTTTCTGCTCATTGAACTGGTTATGATTTGATAATTCTGTTACTATTTTTGAAGTTGCTCAATTTTGTGAAAATGATTTTATTTCTTGTCTCTGTTTTTTATTTGACATGCCTCTTGTTGATGTCCTGGGTATGTCTTGATGATTAATGTTGAAGTGTTTTGATTAGTCTTCCTAATTATACATACATGGAATTTTTCTTCAATAATATTGTTAATTTGTGCATATACCTTAGTTTGCCTTGTAAAACATTATTTCATTTCAATCCAACCTGGAACAGATAACATGTGCTTTAAGTAAAATGAAAATAATAATAGGAGTACACACTCCTGACCCTGGTTTTAATTCCACATTGAAACCATTACCCGTCGCGGATCTTTACCATCTTTTCTGTTTATTTCTCTTAGAAATTTTTTAGTGTGAGGAATAGATAAAATTATGAGAAAATTGCAAATTTCTGATGTCATTATAGAGTATATAAATAGAATGTAGATATTATATAGTTGCATATGCGGTGAGTGAAAGATCTATAAAGGCAGGAACATAATTTTGCTCGAATTTTTTTTAATAGATGTTTTAGGTGGATTAGAATTGAAAGATCTATAAAGACAAGAATGTGGATTTGTTCAAACGAAGTTCATTTTAATAAATTTTTTTGGTGGATTAGATCATCATTCTTCCAAACTATATGAGGATAAATTTATTTATTTGCTTTTTTCAAATGCAACCATATAGTTTTAAATTCTGATACGGTTTTTGGAAACATAATTGAACATTGGGTGATAAGATGATCCCCAAGCTTGAAATCATCATTTTTGGAAACATAATTGAACAAGGGTTTGTTTGTATACAAATAAACTAGCTTTTTACTAGTTTTTTTTGTTTAACCATGGTTAATTTTGAAAAAGTTGGTTTAGTTAGTTTTTAGTGCGATCTTAAAATAATACTTAAAATAAAATTTAAAGTTGATTTGATGCAAAAGTAGGAGAGAGATTATGGGATGTGATAGTTAGTTAAAATAATATGAAAGGATGAATAGTGAATTAAAGTTGTTGTGATGTGTAAGAATGATTAATTGATATTATTTCATTATATTGATAATATTGAGGATGGTGATGTTGAGTTAAAGTTTGGCTAGATTTTGAGTTGAAATTGAATTTTTTGTTGGTAAACTATTAAAAAAAGCCCTAAACTACTTATTTGTGGTCATGGATGCAAGGTCCTAAAAGGTGCTAGGCGCTCGTTAGGTTGTGTGCTAGGGCCTAGCGCCTAGGAGAGAATTAGGCGAGGCCTAGGCGGGGTCGCAAAATTAATAAATTTATTTATATTTATCTTTGTACATTGCTTCCGATTAAAATTATAAAATATACTAATTAATATGGTTAATAACAACATTTGTCAAAAATATTATATACTCTTAATTATTATATTAATTTTACACGTGTTATTTTTTAATTTTATAATTATTGTACATATCATGTATAAAAGATAATTTCTTTTGTATTATATTATAAAAATAAATTAAAATATTATACGGCCGTCTAGGCAGCGCCTGGACCGCATAAGTCACTGCCTAGACCGGTTAGGTGACTCCTAGGCCGCCTAGACACCTAGTTTCCCGAGTGCTTAGAAGGGTCGTCTAAACTAAAATTGGGGCGCTTAGGTGCTGCCTAGCGACTAACCCGATTTTTAGAACACTGCATGGATGTTTAGTGACTAAATGAAAAACAAAGAAGTTGAAAAGTTGTTCTTATGTGGACATATTGAATGGAGTAAGTTCTTACCTAGAGTTTTCTTGATTGTGAAAATTTTGTTTTCTTATTTGATTCAAAGAAGAATAACATCAATCCTGAACTGGTAGTCTTTGTAATAGGTTTATCCAGTAATGTAAGATTGGCTGGTTTATCCCATTCTCATGCCTTAGAAAATTTGAACAATATATCTGAACTGAAATTTCCATTACATTATTCCTTTTAGCATAATATTTTCTGTGGCTTAACAGCTGAGACTTAAGTGTATTGTTATCATTGTTTTTGTCATTTTGATTGTTGTTATTATTACTGATTATATAAAGAGATGAGTGACAATGTGATGACTGATGTGAACTGTAACTGTGGGATTGTTGGTTCTGTATGCAAATTCCAAAACGTATCCAACTTCTCTGCTAGCCTAAAGTTGACTTATTGTTCTGATCGTTTGTAAATCAGAATACAAGGTTCATTCATACAACCAAAATGGCTTGTGCGCGTTGGGTTTTATGGATGACCACTATCCTGTCCGAAGTGCATTTTCTTTGCTCAACCAGGTATGCAGCCCTCTAATTGGTGCAACCTATAGTGAGAGCATCAAGGTTTCTGGGAAAAGTCATTTCTACTGATTTCGTAAATTATAACAGAATGTGATGTTTTGCAGGTCTTGGATGAATATCAAAAGAGCTTTGGTGATTCATGGAAAACTGTGCAAGCAGATAATGCCCAACAATGGCCTTATCTAGCTGAGGCGCTGACCAAGTTTCAGGTATTTAAATATTTTCTGTATTCTTTTATTATTATTATACTTTACTCTTGCTATATATCTCTTAGTCCCATAACTTCTTGCCTTCAAAAAACTGCGTAGGATCCTGCTGAGGCTGACAAGTTGTTGAGAATTCAGCGGGAATTGGATGAAACTAAAATTATTCTTGTAAGTACTGTAATCAAACTTCTTACGAAGCATTCGTCAGTCATGGAGCTATATATTCTCTTAGTGATCATCTCGACTGATTGTTAGCGGATACTTTATACTTATTTAGTGTTACATGTAGGCATTAAGATCCTCGTGAATGATTTAGATTTGTGGGATATTTTTATATATTGATGTTTAAAACAAAATAAGTGATAATATGAAGTTATAAGAAAGAATTAGATAACTGAGTGCTGTTGTTAAATCTGTTCTCTTTGCTCCTCGGCTGATATTTGCACCTATGTATTGAAGGTTTTTAGTTATTTCATATGTTATTTCTTGAGGAGTGTAAATGTTCGCAATCTGTTAAAATTTTAATTTGGAACAAACGGTGATCGTTCTATACTCAGTAAGAAATGGCCAAGTCTTTTCAACTTTTATCAACTAGGCACGAACTTGGTTCTGTCCAAGGCATCATCTGACTAAATTTTCTCAAGATTCCTAACATACGCTTGAATTGCGTGTATAATTTTATGTAAATGTTTAATGAGTGAAGACAATTCACCATCTGGCTGTAAATGAACAGAGACCATTTGAGCTTTGGTGCGTTCGTTCTCATTTGTTGGGTTTATATGATTATGTGTTTGCTAACAAACATGTTCTAGAGCATGCTCATTATCTGTTATTGAGCAAATGTTCGCAAATTTTATGAAGAAAAAATCTGATTTTGATTATGTGTTTTAACTTATATACCTAAAGATATTAATCCTAAAATACACTTAATTTTTTCTACAATGATTGGTGGATAATGAATAGCAAGCATCCTGAAAGACATCTGCTGTGTATAGGTATGGTAATATGGAGTTTGGATATGTATTAGCAGCTGTAAATGAGATCATGTGATGCCTGCAATCGATGCTCAAATCTCTCATTCCTTTATATCGTCATTCATTTGTGAACTTGTACACTAAATATAATTACATGTTGTTTGCCTCAGCACAAGACTATAGACAGTGTCTTAGCTCGAGGTGAGAAGTTAGACAGTTTGGTTGATAAGAGCTCAGATCTCAGTGCAGCTTCTCAGGTTTGTCTATTTATTGAATTTGTATTGGTTGTATCTTAAGTTAAGTGGAGAGATGCTCAAATGTTTTCTTGTTTTTACAAGATTACATGAAAGATGAATACCATACTATCCTTGTTCTTCTATGAATATGTCACAAACTAAAGTGGCCATACATATATTTCAGTTTCAGGGTTAATGTTTGGGATTCCGTTGTTCCTTGTTAAGTTTAAGAGTCACATTTATTTATGATGTTTTTCAGATGCTACTCATATACCATGAGGATGGTTGTTCTATTGATTCGACTCTGCTAGAATTGCGAGAAATATTTTTTTTTGGTTCTCTAATTTCATGGACTTTGCCAAGCATGATCTCTATATTAAAATTATTTATCTCAGGATGAGCTTTGATATGTCTAGAACAATTCCAGTCCCTCTTTAACACCTATTTGAAAGGTCTTGAGTTTGTCTGAATCTGGATTTAGGTCCATGGTTTATGAAATGTTTTAGTTGTGTTTATTTACCTCAATTAAAACACGATTTTGGTGGCTTTTCCTTCACCTAGAAGGCTACTGATCTTTATGTTCATGATATGCTTTAATTATTGCAATCCTTCTTCAATTGTAGAATAGCGTAGCATCATATTATTGAGTATATGGTTGATTAGCATATAATAGCTGACAAAAACTGTACTAATCAATATTATTATTTGGACTTAGGTGTGTAGATTTATTTTAAGTTGAGATCGTTCGATAAATTAGTGAAATAAAAAAAAAAAAGTATTTAATCTTAATTTATGAGACCTGCACTGGTCGAGCGGCTAGCGAGTGCCTAGCGACTTCTAAAACACTGCACATGACTGGTTTTGTTTTCAAGAATTTATGAAATGTAACATTTTTGTCAATTGTTTCTAATGCTGGAAGTTTCTTGGAATTCTTGGAAACAGATGTTCTACAAGCAGGCTAAGAAAACCAACCAGTGTTGTACGATCTTGTAGATGCTTCAGAATGGGATTGCTTGAATAAGTTACAAGTGCTTAAGCTCAATTGATTAAACATGAAGTTTTACAGGTTGGGTTGTTTATATAATGAATTTACATAAATGTTGGGAGATTGAAATCTTTGGGAGAGAGAGAGAGAGAGAGAGAGAGAGAAGCATCTTTGTTGGGAAAATTTGCTCTGGTTGTGCTAATACAATTACAATATTATTCTGTATGTTCTCTAGAGCTTCGCTATATTCAATTTTATTGTTATTTCTAATGAATGTCATATCATGTCATAGAAAACCGAGGATTTTTTTTCTTCAAATTATATGGATTAATTTGCAGCAGATAATTCGTGACATGTTTGATGTATCAATTTATGAATTGAGTGAGGCGTTTCAATGCTAGATTTTAGAGTAATACTTTTTTTTTTTACTCTAAAAAAAAATTAATTGCCGAAATAATTTATTTGTTGGCTATTGGATGTTTATTTTTTAGGGGTTCGAATTTGTGAACACATGTTTTACCTACCTATTTATTTGATCTCNACGGAGGCCGTAGTCTATGAAACATCTAGATATTAATGTTCCGTGGATGAACGACGCCTACGACATTGTGTAGTAACCACGGCTTCACTTCTAGCGGTGGATCAAGAAACCTCTAGCACCCATTAGAGAATGAATGAACTAAGTTCGTCAAACAATCTGAAGCAAAATTTGCTTCACTTCTACTTGCACATTTATTTGATCTCCAAAACCAGCCAATATGTGTATATCTTATGAGGGAGTATAATCTCAAGTTATAATTTCTGACGAGCTTTCTAATTAAATTGAAAATATTGTCCAGTCTTTTCGTGATTTTAAAATTCGGTATTCTATTTTGGACTTTTGAAAGTACAGGAATATCCAATTCATTTTAGAATGTTAATAAATATTTAAGGTGTTCAATTCGTTTAATATTATAATATTATCTGTATATTTTACTTTTATTGATATTTTAAATGCAAAATACATAATCAAATTCCACCACCACATTTAAACTTCAGAATTCTAGGTTTTCATTAGTTTTAAAACATTCAAAAACAATATTTAAAATGTCATTCGGGCAATGTTTAGATACAATTTTTTTTTAAAAAAAAAAAAAATCAATAATTTTTAATCAATCACTTTTTTAACTCAAAATTTAACTAAATCTTAACTAAACTCTACTATTTTTAATATTATCAATATAATTAAATAATACCACTCAATCATTTTTATACATTACAACAACAGTAATTCACTATTCGTTCACACGCATAATATTAACTAACTATCACTTCACATCATTTCTCTCTTATTTTTACTCTAAACAATTTTAATTATTTTATCTTAAATGTTATTTTAATATAAACTCAAACTTCCAATAAGAACTAACCATACCACTTTTTTAAAAAATTAACCTTACTAAACAAAAATATAATCAAAATAAAAATATTTTATATCCAAGCATCCCTTATGATTTCAATAAAATAAAAATAGAACGCTTAAAATTAATTTAAAAAGTCTTAAAATGACATCTATATATATTAAAAGAGGTTGTTGAAATAATCTAAAATAATAACTTTGACTTTTGTAATTAATTAGTTGACTTGTTGTTAAAGGAAATATAGTAAAATTTACTTTAATATATTTGAAAAAAAATAAATTAAATTATACTTACATTTTGTAAATCATGCAATTCGATTAATAGCATAATTTTCTATATAAATAAAGTGGTATCGAATTTGAACATTATTTTGTAATATTTATCACAATAAATCAGTTCTCCAGCGCGCGGAAGCACTAAAAGACCTAGTGTTGATAAGAATGCAGCAGAAGGAAGGGGAGTCCATCAGGGATTATGTAGCTCGCTACACAAAAGAGTGTGTAGAAAATTTTGTAATGTGTATTGTTATAAATTATAATGATAAATCAACAAGTGACCTATCGAACAACGATCTAATTGTTAACTTAGAAAAAATAAAAATAAAAATTATAATGTATATTATTATTAATTAAAATGATAAATCAGTCGGCGTGGAGCTGCCATATAAATTATTAGATTATATAGAAAATTTAAAATACTTATAATATACATCATTATAAATTATTAAAAAAATAATATTGTCATTTAGTGTGGTGAACCTTGTGATAGTAACTGCGTCAAAGCCACATAATTACAAGCGACTAAGTAGTCGAAATAGGAAGTCTACCCAAGGTAGCCTAAATATTATAACACAACACTAATGAAACTAAAACAACTCCCACATTTGAATAAGACACTCCCAATAAAAAGAATACACGCTCCCAAATAGAAGAATAAAAAAACGACTGAGACAGACACAGACAAACGCATACGCATACAACAAAACCAAATAACTAAACTAAAGCCCTCCTCGACAGCCGGCAAGCAACACCTCAGGCAACCACGCCAACAACTAACGTGGGATACCACCCCCACGAATAGAGACTCGGTCCAAGGCGCCAAATTTGAAACTGCAGTAAAATGCCCAATAAGACCCTGACCCCCAGACCCCTATCTTGGTAGACCACTGTCGTGCCAGCACAACGGAGTTCACCCTGAAAACACAAATCCCCTCACTGACTAGCAGCCTGAGTCCGACAAACCCGCAGAGGTAAATACCGACACCACCGACGAAGTCGTCGCCAACCCAGGGATGACGGTAAACCAGGGGAAGGTAGAGCATCACTTCGACCCCAAACTCCAACCATGGACAACCCAAGCCGACATGCTACCAGAGCTGCAGCCCCCCACCAGCGACATAAACCTATTCCCAGCACGAGGGGAACAAGAGAGCAGGGGAAAGAAAGAGCTAACCTCGGCTCCGACCACTGCCAAGTGGAAATCAGAGAAAAGTCTCCCAGCAATGCCATCTGATCGCCGAAGCTGGAGCCGAGAGGCCAACCAAGAGCAACGCGGCATGGCGAAACGCCCTCTGATCGAGAGGCCCACGGATCAACGGGAGACTGAGAGCACGGACCGGCAACGATAGTAGCGCTGCGGCACAGAGCGCCCCGCTATGGAGGAGGCCGACGATATGAGGAAAGGGTTTTACTGTAGGCTTGCTAGTTTAATGCCATTAACCACCATCAAAGATTCATCAAACGAACATAAAAGAAAGTTTACAATTATGAGGGATAATCTCTTTTCCATTGTCTTTGAATCTCCTAGTCTTGATGCCTTGAATATTTACTCACATTTTGAGGTCTTCAATGATCTCTTGTGCGTTCCTTCATATTTTTTTCTACATCTAAAAAATCTCAATGGAGATTCTACAAACGAATATGCACAGTACTTTTTGTCCAAGTAAACAATTTAAGCATAGAAATTCAACTAATAAACAAGTTCAATGAATTATCTCTTATAACAAGCTTAATTGTAGTTTTAGAGTTTATGTAGTATGTATAAGTTCACTACTTACAAAAACGAACTTTACACAACATATTTGTACTTGGCATAAATACCAACTTTACACAACATATTTGTATTTGGTATAAATACCAAGAAACCCTAATTTGTATTTACTTTTAATTATAATCCCTTTTCTTTTCTCTCGTCTCTCTATCTCTCTCCTTCTCTTAGATTCTTCAGATTGTTAATCTTCAACCTTTATCATGCTTGTTAATTTTGTATATATGGTAACGATTTTGGCGTGGCAATAAAGCAGTAGCCACTCGTCTATTGGTATGATTTATTTGCAATGACACGACATGGCATTCTAGGACAGGTTGATGCTTAGACTGTTTCAGGCATGATATTTAGTTGTTTATGTGATGAGTCATGTAGTGGTCGTGGATACAATGGTGTCTACTTGTTTAGGCATGCATGATACTTAGTTAATGGAAAACGTGAATCTTGTAGTTCATGGATATAAAAGGCGTCTTACTTCCGGAAAGGACATGACTCTGCAGAATGCAGATATCCTGAAAAAATTACAAACATAATTAATCATTAGAAAGTAAAATCCATCTCAATTGTCGATGTTACCCGAACTGGAACAAGAAAAGTAAAAGTGCAATGAAGCTGCTATTTAATTCAACTTTAGCTTTCATTGTTTTGGTTCTATTTCTTCTAGGTTTTCCTATCCAATTATATCCTCAAGGCTGTGGTTTTTCATTTTTCATGATAGATCATTCAATAACAAGAAAACAAGCCGAGAGGCTAAATAGTCCCCATAAGTCCAATACATACACAGAGGCCATCCACATGATGACCTAGACTCTCGAATCAACAAACTAAAGAAACAAGTGCAAATAGAGGCAGTAGAATCTGAGCTCTCTAACTACTTCCAATCAGCTAACAAATATAAAAACCATAGCATAACTCAGTCAACAAATACATAGATACAAAGAAGCCCAAGATGAAAAAATGCAACACTGAACCTAATGTTTTGAACCTTAGGACCTAGCAAAAATAATCTTCATCACTGATCTCCCCGTGCATTTCTGCTGTTTGCAAATTCTATCCAGGCAGCATGACCCTGAGTTAAGAACCTGAGCAGGCATCCACACATTTTGGAATTTCCATAGATTTCTGGATTTTCAAAGCCACCAAAGATTGTATGTGGTTAGCTGAATTCTTTCTTCTGAAACTTCTTTCCTATCCACATCACATACATTCCACCACCGAAGCTTAATGGATTCTGTTTTAGCAATCTCATTCCTACAGACATGAGCCAATTTCCAAATTCTTTGAGCCCTGCTGCAGTGTATAAGGACATGCTCCACAGTCTCCAACTCTTCTCCACATCCACAACACCAAGGGTCAATGTCTAATCCTCTCTTCTTTAAGTTTAGGCTTACAGGTAAAGAATTATTATAGCATTTCCAAACAAAGTGTTTAAGTTTAGGTTTGATTTTTAAGCCCCAATTTCTATGCCTTACCATTTTCTCCCACTTAGCAGATGTACTACTTTCAGCAATGTCTAAATCAGTTAGTTTACCAGCCACCAACTTAGAGTAAGAGCTTGCAACTGAAAACTTACCCTTGTTTTCAAGAGTTCATCGCCATTTGTCAACTAGAGTAGGATCAAGAGTATCAATATCAAGAATGGCCTCTGCATCATCCTGAGCATTCAGCAATCAATCTTCTATTTCAAGTTCTGCCATCATCCAGAATCAACGTTTCAACCCAACTCACTCTGCTCATCCCCAAAGAAGTCTTTTCAGGAATCGCAGTAGCAGTGCTAGATATCTAAGGGTCCTGCCAAACACTGATGTGTTTACCTGTTCTAACCACCACCCTGAAATGTTTCTTGAACTTATTTCTCACCACCAGCAAATTAGACCACAACCAAGAAGTATTATATGGTGTTTTTGCTTGGAGAACAGAGCAATCAACAAAATACTTTCCTTTAAGCACTTTAGTAACCAATAAGTTAGGGTGTGTCACTAACCTCCAAATTTGTTTAAGGATAAGAGCCTCATTGAATAGCCTGACATTTTTGAAGCCTAATCCTCCAACATCTTTGGGAAGGGTCACCATTTTCTATTGCTTCCAATGTACTCCAGTCTGTTGCTCTCTTTTGCTCCACCAAAAGCCTGTTGAAAGTCTAGAAATATCCTTGCAAATTCCTTTTGGTAAACTGAAACATGACATTGTAAAAACAGGGAGTGCACTTATCACAACCTTCAATAAAACCTCATTTCCCGCAGTAGATAGGAACTGATTCTTCCAGCTGACTAATATTGATCTCATAGAGTTAAGCACATATTCAAAAGAATCTTTTTTAGATCTATCTATACCTAGAGGCAACCCTAGGTATCTGGTAGATCTATGGACTTGGATTCCCCTCAAAATCTGACAATTATAACTTTGATGAGCACATAAGGTATTATTGCTGAAAAAAATGGAGCACTTCCGTAAGTTCACCTTTTGACCAGAGAAGAGTTGATATTTACTCAGAACTTGCATAAGGATATGGGCATGGAAGTCATCAGCTTTACAAAGCACCAAGGTGTCATCATCAAACATTAAATGAGTAATAACAGGACTTTGTCTAGCAATTTTCAAACCCTGAAACCTACCTCTCCTAGCTTCACCCAAAATCAATCTAGAAAATACTTCAGAAATTAAAATAAAAATATATGGGGAAATAGGAACTACTTGCCTAATCCCTCTTGAAGCTGAAATATACCCACTCATCTCACCACTCAGATTGAAAGAGAGAGATGGAGTGGAAATACAAGCCCACACCCGTTTAACAAACAAAGAATGAAAACCCATTTTCAAAAGCACTTTTCTCACCGCTTCTCATTCAATTCTGTCAAATGCCTTTCCCATATCTAACTTAACCATCATGAATCCCTGTTTTCCAATCCTATGCCTATTTAGAAAATGAACTGCTTCATGGGCCATAACAACATTTTCTAGAAGCTGCCTTCCAGGAATGAAGGTAGCTTGGTTGGCACTCACACAACAATCAAGCAGGCAAGGATTAATTGTGGAAGTTAAGATTTTGGAAATGACCTTATAAGCAACTCCACACAAGATAATGGGCCTAGAATGCTTGAGAGAAGAGGGGTTAAGACATTTAGGGATTAAGAAAATAAGAGTGTGATTCCAAGTAGTAACAAATTTCCCAGATTAAAAAAACTAAGGACAGCTGAGCAAAAATCCACTTTAATAATGGACCAAAATTTTTGAAAGAAGAGAGGGTTCATACCATCCTGTCCAGGTGCTTTCCCAGGATATAGGCTGAATAAGGCTTCTCTAATGTCATCTTCGGTGACTGGGGCTATAAGGCTAGCATTCATTTCAGCAGAAATAGACTTTGGTATCAATGGCAAGACCTCTTTACCTCCTCTAGACCCATCTTAGCTAAGAAGCTTTGCATAAAAGTCACAAATGTGTTGCTGAATCTCCTCCTTCGTGTCCCACACTTGATTCCTCTCATCCACCAACTTTGTGATTGCATTCATCCTTCTTCTTTGCATAGTCAAGGCATGGAAGAATTGAGAATTAGAGTCACCTTCTTTGATCCACCGAACTCTTGCTTTCTGTGCCCAAAATTCTTCTTCTTCTTTTATAATTCTATCTAGATCTATCCTTAGTCTTTCTCATTCCTCTCAATTTCTGTTAGCTCCCATAGTGCTCATAAGATCAAGCTTCTCTAAATTCTTTTTCTTCATCTAATCCCCTCTAAAGGAAGCACTCCACTTTAGTAAACCCAATCTAGTTGCTTTAATTTTTTCTGGCACTTGATGCATTGGAGTGCCAATTTGATGAGAATTCCATCCTTCCTGAAATGCTTCTCTGACCCCCTCTCTTAATTTGTAACCACTTCTTATCGAAATAGAACCTCTTTGGTTTTTGGTCTTTGATGTCAGGGTTATCATTTAATGAAAGCAGCCTATGGTCTGAAGAGCTCTTAAATATGCAATCCACTTTTGCATTCTGATGAGATGATAACCAACCAAAGGAGGCAAATATCTTGTCAGTTTTCTCTTCTATGAACCCTTCATCATCTCTGTTGTTTTCCCAAGTATAATGATGCCCAATTAACTGTGACTCTTGCATTCCCATTCTTGCAATAAATTCATTAAACCCTTTATACTCCCAGTCTGCTTTCACCCTCTCTCCTGACTTTTCACTTAAATCACATATCTCATTCCAATTACCTCCAAGAATCCACTTCCTTCCCCACTTGTTGCTTGCAGCTTCCAAAAACCTCTATTGATGCACTCTTTCTCTCTTGTTTGAACTGGCATAGACAAACATAATCTACAAAGAATCATCCTCCTTTGCACCTCCCACTTCCACCTTAATGCAGAATTGGTTGCTAATAATCTGTTTGATCACCATCTCACTTCCCCTAAGCCCTTGAAGATCTACTGCAAACCATCTATCTCTAAACCCAATCTTATTGCAAACAAACCTAATAAATTATTTTTGTTTATTAGTTTCTGAAATGAAGACAAAATTTGGGTGGTGAAGTCTTGAAGACTCCTTAATTTGGGCAACTGTAGAGGGTCCACCAAACCCTCTACAGTTCCACATGAATAGTTTCATTGATCAACTAGGGGCCACTCAGGGCTGGCCACCCCCACCTCTATTAAAGCATTCTTCTGTTTCTTACCCCTCTAACCAGTTCTGTCTGTGGTTCTTCTTCAATGATCTCCAATGATTCTGCTATCTTCCTTCTCCTAGTGAAATGTTCTGATTGCTCTGCACCTCGATTCTTCTGGCCCATTGCCATAGGAGTTTGGTTTTCTTTTCCAGCTTCTCTTCTTTTGTGTAATAGTCTCACTTTTTTCTGTCTAATGCACTTGATGCTCACTGGTAGTGATTTGATTGGTGATTGTAGCCTCTGTCTCCATCTCTATAGTAGTGCCACTTGCTTCCCCTTGGTAACTTTCTACACCTTCTAAAGATGAGGATAATAATGTTAAGGTGAACACTTTCTCTCCTCCTTCTGTTTCAATAAGGCTATGTTTGGTAAAACTAGTTGATAGCTGATAAGCTAGCTTATAGCTTAAGTGTAATTTTTGAGCTTATAACTTATGACTTATAGCTGAAAAACTAGCTTATATGATAAAAGTGTTTGGTAAAATTAGCTGATAAGCTAACTGATAAGTGTTTGGTAAAAAGATACCTAAAGTAGCTTATGAGATAAGCTCGAACTTTTTAAAAAAGTTTGTCCTACCAAACGAAGCTTATTTGAATACAGGAATCTTATAAGCTAACCGAATAAGGCTTATCAAACATAGCCTAAATGTTTTCCCTCCCTGTGCAACAACCTATGTAGGTCTGATTTCATTCTCCATATTTTCTTGGACTCTACTTCCCGCTGACTTGTTTCCTTGATCTTGTTCTTCGCTATCTTTGTTTAACTCTGGGATTGCATTGGGAGATTCTGTATATTGGCTCCCAGGATGAAGAAACCCTCACATTAAACCAACCCTCAATGGTAAAGAACTCTTCTGAAAGAGAATTGCTACTCCCCTAAGAGAGAGCTCCTTTGGTTGGGAAACAACAGAGTTAATATCTGTTCAAGGCTCTGGTTCACTTGCATAAAAAGAGTCCAATCCACCCATCGTTATCACAGTGAGCAAACAACTTTGGAATTATTTCACTCTCACGGAAACACCAAGATTAGTGCAATTCATATAACACAAACATGGCAACCAAGCCGATTGAAGAAAACATTGTTTAACAAAGGAACCACTAAGCCAGAAATATTCAAATACTTAATACAACCGTAGCACATGGAGGAACTTCAAAACACCCAAATGTGTAAACAGACAATATGCATAGACATTTACATAACATCTCATAGACATTTACATAACATCTCACAGGTTCTTCAATTCAAATAAAATACGATTTACTTTAGTTACTGAACTTGGCATTCATCACACATATTAGCAGCATCTTCAACTTTTCATTTCCCTAAAATGGACTTGATCCACCAGATCCCCTTTGTGTCATTCGGTGCACTCTCACTTTCTGGGGGTGTATCTGAATGGGGTGTTTTGTGTAGCTTGCTGACATCATACCCTTCTTCTTTAGCCTTCTCAACAAGCTGATTGTAGGTTTCATCATCGAGCCTAGGCTGCCGGCTCAGTATCTGTAAACCAAATAAAAAAAGAGCTAGTTAGAAGTTTATGGTCATATATCAAACCCTTGCATAATTGAGTACTAAAGATTTTCTGCTTCCATTTCGAGTTGGATTTTAATAATTAAAAAGATTTTCCAACTTATCAAGCTGTATTCTTAACAACCACTCACTTATAATCTAAATCTAATTGCAACGAAGAACTATCCCAACTCTCCACTTGTTTCGCCTTCAAAGCAGTAGAATCACTTGAATGAACAAACCGTAACAAATTCTGCTAGTAACCACAGTTCACACACTTGGGTATTATTTCACCACCATATGATTAACTCCATGCGAGGTGTTAAATTCATAAAACAAGACTTAAGAAAATCGCATACCAAATACTGTAGCATGCGTACACAAATAGTTCAAAGACTAGCATAACAAGACCCAAGATCGTAATCCCAAACATTACTCCTGAATGGCTAAAAGAGCTAACATGTGAAAACACTACAACAGTTATCTATCGTCAATGGAGAAAATCAGTGATCCAAAGTAACTATTATCTTCCACGTGAATTCAATAACATGATACATTGAAAGCCTCGCATCGATTTCATCAATGCAGAATAGTAGCCAAGTATAGTCAATTTGAGTTCTGTTCAATTCCCATTAATGGTGACTTGAACATAGGAGTATTAATTTTATATGGCCTTTAGTTGTGACAGAGTTGTTTGTTTATTCCCTCCTCTCGGACTAACTAAAGCTGCATAAGCCCAAACAGTTACATAAACCTAAACAATCAATCACAATCACTGCACAGAAATTTGAAATAATCTACACAAGAAGCAACTCAAGAAATCTCATGACAGCCCAAAATTCTGAATATCAACCAAGATAAGTCTGCCCAAAACAAAAAACCCAAGATAAGTCTGCCCAAACAA